TGATCTAATTTACACGATTGTTTGAAGTGGAAAGATACCTGCTCAGCCCTGGCTGATATTCTCCTACTGACATAATGCTTAGCAATCTAAATTTCACTGTTATCTGAGTTAATAGGATAACATTTATGCATTCGAGTACATTGACATCTCATGCCTGTACCATATAGGGGTGAACTCTTTCATGCACATATAAACATCCATTTATATAATATTTTCATTTCAATCTGCATGATATACATTACTTTAATGCGAGACCCTGTATTTATCTATTAAAGTTAATGGACTACTCGAATATAAAGTCACATGATAGTCTAATAGATGCACATTTACTATAATTTTAAAGGTCATGTAATAATCTGAGATATACATCTGATCATGCAATAAATTAATATATACATCTTTGTTTGAATATAAGGATCTTGTAATAATATGATACATTCATAAACTAAATTATTTAACAACTATGAGAATAACAGTATTTATCATGCATACTTCATGATTAACAATATGAAAATCATATATGATTTAATTTCATTGATAAAAAACATAATTATGAAAATTTGCGAGCAAGAATATATTTAAATGGAAGAAATATTATTATAATTTAAAAACATAACTTTTCAATCGATCCTAGATTTTCATACTCTTAATTTCTATATCCTCCTTCAAAATAACAATTTTTATCGTGTTCAACTTTTCTGGATCCAATTCTGAGTTGTTCACCTTTGAATTCCTAACGTTAATTAACATAAACCCATATTTAATATATAAATATTTCATTTATATAAACAAATCTAGAAACCATATTAAAATCTAAACTCACTTTAAAATTTTTGATTTGATTCCAAACCTCCGAACGACCAACTTCATTTCCTACTCTTATTCTGCTTAAGCTTGCACAGAAAGGTTGACCCAGTCTTCTTCCTCTTCTGTCTTGCATGCGAAATAGCCAGACTCGCTGGTGCCGACTCCCCTGTTCCTTGCTCGGTAAAACACTCCCATAAGCTTCTGCGGCGTTGAAGCCCTTCCAAGTCTCAAAATCACTTGCAGCCCTCGGTTCTTGCTTCAAGACCTTGGAAAATGCTTGGGATCGAGCGTCTCTACACTCGAAAATTCCTCCTTGAGCCGATCGTGCTTTTCCTGAGCATAAGAAGCTTCTATTGCATTGACCTCCTTCCTCTTTGCCGAACAGTTAGTGCAAGAAATCCCCTCTAATGCTTTCCGTTCATGTCATCTCCAGATTCACACAACAAGGTGAGTTGCACCTCTCTCCCTCTTCTCCTCCATCTTTCTTTTTTCGAGTCTCGCTTCTCTGCGTTGCTTGTCTCCTTAAAGTGAAAATGTTGAGACAGTTAATCCCCACGAATTGACATTGACCTATTGAATTTCCTTTTCTTTTATTTAATTTGATTTTTTTTTCAGTTATTAAAATCTCCACTACTTATTAAATTTCATCCTCGAAATTCATGAACTTCACATAAGCAAAAGATTATGTAGATAAAATATAAAATGATAACAAAATTTTATTTCTTTTTTAAATGATAACTAAAGCATTTGTGATAAATATACCATATGAGATTATGATAATTTAACGAAATGATTCTCGGACATCTAAAACATAAAAATTAACACCACATCTAAAGTTGTTCAACATAACTAAAATAACATCCAACGTCTAAAATCACTATACATAAAGGTACTCAACACAAGATAACCATCATAAAATTTATATGAAAAAACACTTGTAAAACTCTTCTAGCATTTGTATCACTAGCGACATGTCCTTCAGGTTTCAGATGATCAGCGAATAGAGACTTGGTCGAATGTTATGCCTTGGATGTTTCTCCTTACTAGTTACAATGCCAACTTCTTTTATCATCTACTGACCATTTATAAAAGTAATCCCTTCCAAAAGTTCCTTTGAGCTGAATCCTTTCGTGAGTTAGCTTTTGTTGTGGATCTCTGAGTATAATTAGGGTAGTTTCTCATCTAATGTCCAGACTGTTTGCATAAGTAACACACTCTCAAACCAAATAAACATTTATCACGATTTTCATTCCCACACGTAACTTAGGGCTTTATAGTGTTGTTGCCAACCTGATTAATAACTCCATCACTTTAGGAGTTATCTTCTTCCAATTAATGAATTGTTGGTACCACTTCTTCCAAGTTCTTTCTCTTCTGTGAATCCCTACGCTTCTGAGTCCGCAAAAGATCAATTTCTACTCTCCTAGCCCTCTCCACTAGTATTGAATATTCTTTAATCTCAGGTGGAACTAGTAGTTGCATAATTGAAATCCTTCAACCAAGACAAAAACCCATGACACTTCTCGACATTTGGAACCAACTGGGGTGCACACCTTGAAGGCATGATGAACCCTACCTCATACCGCACTATCAAACGATCACCTTGTACCAGCCAAATAAGCTTGTCCTCCATCCATCTCCCGACTGACAGTTGTGTCAATCAGTCTCTAAGAGTTTTGACAAATTCATCATCACACCATGTGGTTGGCTCTACCCCTAAATTTTTCCTACAATTCTCCTCCCACCATCTCTCTCCTTCTCCCTCTAAGGCAAAAATGACCAGTGTAACGTTACTCTTTGGAGGACAAAACAATCCATTTAAAATCTTTTTTACTCTTAGTAGTCAGTTCTAAGCATCCACTGGACTCCTTTCAGAAAAGAGAGGTGACCACATATATTGAAATAGCTTTAAATATTTGTCCATCTGGTCTCCCCCACTAACACTGACCCGAGTCTGAGAGTTCTTAATCATATGAGTTACTGCATTATTCATCTCAACAAAAATATCTACGTTCACAGTAATCTATGGAGGTTTGTCATTTTCTACCACATCATCTCTAACTTATTCTCCTAGATTTTTCATATTTTTTGAAAAAAAAGAAGAAATATGATAATAAAACACATTATAACCCTTCATTAATATTATCTATTTAGTAATTTAATCAACTTAATAGCTATTATTTTATCAGGATTCAAACTTATTTTCTCCGATACTACTTTTCATATTATCAATTCTTAAAATAATATTATTAAAAAAAATTATGAAATCTAAAATCACCTTAAAAGTTTTGGTTAGACTCCAAACCCCTGCACGAGCAGCTTCATTTCCTCTTTCCACTTATTCTACTCAAGCCTGCATAAGAAAAAATTGGCTTAGTCTTCTTCCTCTGTTGCCCACAATGTCGTTCTCATGCATAACAACCGGACTTGCTGGGGCTTCGGCTCCTTTCTTCCTCTATAGGTAAGACACTTATGTAAGCTTCTGCACACGGCTTCATAGCCCTCCCACTTCTCAAAATCATTTGCAACACTCTGTTCTTGCTTCGAGACCTCGAAAAGCCTTGGATTAAGCATCTTTGCACACGAGAATTCCTTTTTGAGTTGATCGTGCTTTTCCTGAGCACAGGAAGCTTCTCCCGCATCTGACTCCCTCTCTGTCAAATTTTTAGGGCACGAAATACCATCTACTACTTTATGTTCGCATCGTCGCTGGCTTCACACGACAAGGTGAGCACAGCTCTCTTCAGCTTCTCTTGCTCCTTCCTCTTCCTTTTTCTGAGTCTCGCTGCCCCGCGTTGATTATCTAGTGAGAAAAACACATCTACTCTTTCTTCTTTGCCTCTGACTTCCGCTCTCATTTTCTTGTTCGAGTTGTTCTTATGCTTCAAGTGAGACGCTTACCTCCTTAAAATGAAAACTTTGAGACAGCTAATCCCTCTGAATTGACCCAAATATTTTGTATTTTCTTTTCTTTTATTTTATCTGATTTTATTCCAGTTATTACAATAGTAAAGTTAAAATTAATGCATTTCAAAGTTTAAGTTATTTCTATTTAGTAAATGTCATGGACACATATATTAGATTTTTACAAGATTTTTATAGTGAAATATGAAAAACCAACATAAATATAGCTTTCTTTTCTTTGGTTTACTGTAGTTTAGAAGCGTGATAATTTCACCAGATTATGATAGATAACTATTATTTTAAATATTTTTTTAGTTTTAATGCTTTTGAATAAGATGAATATTATATGAACTAACATGTACATAAGACCAAACTAATATAGAAAAAAGTAAAATTTTTTACTTGTTAATGAAATTATTTTTTTTAGTGGCTATTTCATGAATATTTAAGTATTAAACTGCTTATGATATAAATTGAGTTATAGAACTTATTTTCACTGCCCGACCGTCTGTTCTCGTTTTGGTTAATTCCAATCACCAGACTGAGTCGTGACAGTTTCTGCATGAATGAGAACAAAAATAATAGATTATATCATGCAGGTACCAAATCGAAACAATACAATCTTAATAACATAAAAGATAATTATCTATCATTAAAGAGGTTGGTGATTTCTCCCAAACCCTAACCCTAAGATATATGACAACAATGATACATAATCTAACTCTAGACACATTAAGCCTTATTTATATCCCAAAATAATAATTAACAAATGACTAAATTGTTTTTTAATTTTGCACCTAACACAAGTCTTTAGATTATTTAATAAGCTTGACGTCGACTTGGTAGAGCACGAAGCAGACGACATATATCGGTCTAATAAAAAGATCCCATTACGGTATCATCTGGACAGAACTTCCGCTTCTTCCTTTGAATCACACCGGCTAGAAATAGCTCCCGCATCAGCCAACTTCTGAAATATTTTGTTAACATACAAGCCTAGATATTGCTTTCTGAAAAACGAATGATGAAACTTGGCATCATCTCTGCATTTTCAATTATTGATTTTTCTTGCTAGTTTGATATATATCCTAATGATTGATAACTAGTAGATCATTAACCAGTTTTCAATTTTGTTGTTTTTTTTTTTTCATTTGAGGTGAACAGAATTGTGGACTTGGCCATTAAATATGCTTGAAATCATTCACCTCATTCTGTGATTAATATTTCTTTTTTATTCTAGATTTAAATCCTCTTTAATTGTGCCATATTTTCTGTTTTGATTCTTAAAGGCAATGCCAGCAGCAGCAGGAGCTGTTGCAGCAGCAGCTATTGCTGATCAGATGCATGGACCAAAAGAGGATCAACGCCTGGCAATTGTTCTGGTAGTATGATGCATGCTATGTTCTCCTGTCCTGTGAATCTCATGGTTCATCTGTTTTCTGCAGGAGTTACCATGAAAATATGAAATGCTTCAGTTATTTTAAAATTATCAATTTGTTCAAAATTGACTGTTCGATTCCCGCACGGTTTAATAATTTTTGAACATTTTTTTAATTCTAATATCCAAAGAATATCCAGTCGTTAGCAGAAAACATCATCATTCCATGCATGCATCCATCCATCCACTCTGCACACACACACACAGATGCATGCATGTATGCCTGCAATACAGTGCAATGCAATGCAATACAATACAATACGATAAAATACATGTTATTTCCCACTTGAGAGGCGTAGCTAATCTTAGGGACTTGCATTTATGAGAAAAGTCAAGCAGATTATTGCTTCTCGTGTAAGTAATGTTGCCATGATTTACTCTGAAGGTTGGCCTGCCAGCTCGGGGAAAGACTTTTACAGCGGCCAAACTAACAAGATATCTACGATGGTTAGGTCATGAAACAAAACATTTCAATGTTGGCAAGGTAATGTAATATTCTTATTATATGGACAATTCTTATTTGTAAAATTTGTAGACTAGTTTTTTTTTGCTTGATTTATTGAATTAATCCCTTCATTGGCCAGTATCGTCGGCTGAAGCATGGATTGAATCAGGTATGCTGGATTTTTATTCAGTTATTTTCCTTTCTGAATACCTTGCTTATTTGCTTTTAATTTTAATTCATATCTAGCCACTTTCTATTTATGTTTTTTTTCATATTGTTTATATAGGCATTTTATTTAACTAATCTTTTTTAGTTGATTGTATATTTAATTCAAAAATCTTAGCACGCCGTTGTTTTCACTTATCTGAGCAACAGAACTTTTAAGACCCATTGTATTTTCGATTACCTTTAATCAACCTTTCATGTGCATGACAGACAATTTGGCATCATCACTAATGAACGTCAATTCTGACAAGATATGTCAACTTTGATGAAGTTGGGAGTCTTTACATCTGTATTTGCTTGATTGAGAAAGCATAATATTTTGCGAAGTACTTATTTCTCATTATTCCTTTTAGTATAGCATATATTATCTCTGGTAAGTTTGGTTGTGAAAACATAATATTTTTCACACTGTTAGTTTCTCATTATTCTGTTCTGTTTATCATATTTTATCTCTTATGTTCATGTTAGAGTTGAAGTGAGGTAAACTTCCAAGCTAGGGGAGAGAGAACATTTGTTTCCGTAATAATTTGAATGGATTTTCCATAGGATTTTATGCCATTGAATTATAGCAAATGCATGTCCTTTCCATGAATAAATGCTCCCAAGGTGAAGTGAAATGAGATTTCTAGGTATGTGAAAGAATCTTACCTATTGCCGTAGATTGAATATCTATATGGCGGAAGCAAAGGGGCTAAGCAGTGGTGTAACAATGGGTGGCTGACGGAGGCATTCACACAATAGATTTTCGCTTCTCTTTAATATCATTCTATACACTGAAAAAATTGCCCCCTAACCTTAAATATTTAATAATAGACTATTAAGTATATATTTTAGTTTAATAATAATATTTATATTGGTTTTAAAACTTTTTTAAGGAGAAAAAAATTTAAACTTGTATACTCGTCATCCCTTAAAATTTGATTTTGCCACCCCTCTTTTATGTTCTGACTCCACCACTTGCGGTAAGGATATTAGTTTCTAACCCAAGGGAATGGTTTTTCTTTTTCCTCTTAATTATGCTAGAATTTCAGAATGTCGAGTGTTTGGTGCAATTATATTCATCTGTTGATGAGGTGAAGGTTCAGTATGCTCTGAATTTTTTTGGAACCGATATTGCCATTTTGTCTATATTTTCTAATGAAAATCTATTATGAGATGCAATAAATTACATGTGATTCAAATATGAATATCCTTATTGGAAACACAAATCATGTGCATTAGTGTTTTAACTGTTTATTCTTAGTTTTCTATCTCTTTGTTTAGTTCAGTTCAGTTCAAAGATGTCTATGATGTTAACAGGGCGTGTTATCTAGTCTTTTTATCACTTCATTAGGTTTAAATTTTCACTGCAGCAAAATCATTAGGTTTAAATTTTCACTGCAGCAAGTTATTTTGATTAAACTATTTTTATGATTCATAGGAAAATTAATATCTTATGTATTCAATAAACTAAGTGGGTTGGAGAAAAGGCTAAGGAGATTGATAATTTCGGTTTTAAACTTTGGTATTCTGGTAAGAGTCTCTTATTCTCTCCGCGCAATTAAATATTCTAAGCTACTTGTGATATTTGAGGATCTTATAAATTTATTCCATCAACTCCTTCTTTATATCTGAAATGGATAACAAAAATAAATACGAAGTATAAAACTTAATAGGTACCAAAAAACAAGCCAAGAATTCATCGTATGTAAAAACATAAAATGCATATTTATCTTATTTATAATAGAAAAGAATAATATTCATCTATTTCTTAATTTGCATGATGCATATTATAATTTCGTTTAAAAGCTTACAACATAGCTTAGATTTATTACTATTTCACATTGAAAAAAATAAATATATGCATTTGAAAATACACTTTTTATCATAACATAAAAATAAAACAATCATTTGTTTTAAATAATAATTGAATTGGCTACCTTGCATATCATATTCTATCATGTTTATAATTGTGGTAGCACAGTAGGTTCTCTTTATTTAAAAAAAGAGATGAGCATATTATTACTTATAAGAATGGATCTAATAAAACACAAATTGATTATTTTCTTATGAGAAAAATAGATCTTTGAAAATGTAAAAATTACAAAATTATTCTAAATGAAAATTTAAGTACTCAATATTGATTATTAATTCTAAATTTTAAGATGAGTTGGAAGATAAAAAAATATAATTAAACGTTATCATAGAATTAGATGGGGACACCTAAAAGACAACTAAAATTACTTTATGAGTAAACTTCAAGATTTCAATGTTTGAGATGTTCATAAATAAGCTAATTTTATATGGGATAAATGAACAACCACTATTAGACAAGTGGCAATAGATATACCTGAAAAGTTAAAAGAAAAAGTTTTTATAAATAAAAAAAGTCGGTAGTGGAATAATAATATGCAAGAAAAGATAAAATATAAGAAGTTATGTTATAAAAAATGGTTTGTTTAGATGTAAAAGGTTGAACAATTGAATAAAAAAACAAAAGATGTTCCGTAGGGAATCTAAGAAAATAATTGGTGATGCTAAGAATTTTATTTTTAATAATCTTTATCATATATTAGATATTAAAGGGGGTGAAATATATATGTATAAATTAGTCAAGCAAAGAGATAAGAAAATAAAAATTTTGTTCGGGTAAAGTGTATCAAAGATGAAAATTAAAATGTATTTTTTATATAAGAATATTCCCTTTAAAAAGATATTTAACATAGATGGATGAGTTACTTTGATAAACTTTTTAATGAAGTTTCTGAAAATATGATCGACTTTAGTGATCTTAATATCG